AGGAGGGGGAGTGATAGAGCAGCTCTGGTGGACATCTGCCCTCCAGCCAGGGTCAACCCACCACAATACTGAAATTAATTCCAGTAACAATAGATGGTAAGAATTATTAGGCCTCAATCCCAGACTCACTTACCTGGCATTACCTCCAGTAATTTGGTCTTCCCTGCCACTCTTGTTCTCATTCTAATAGCTTTGTCCCTCCGTGGAACAGTCTCTGCTAAAATGCCATTGGGCCAAAAAGCATCTCTGTAACAAAAGCAAATCTGTCAAAATACATTAAAATTTTATCAAGTGAAAGGCTCTTTTTAATCCCTCAAAGCTATGTCATAAAATAAATACAAGAAAGTAATTTGCACACAACCTAACACACACTTCAAATATTAGGAAAAGGCAAAAAAGAAATCAAAAGCAAGAAATACAATACATTCAACCTCTTAGTAGCTACCATATACTTTTTTAGTACAAGAATCAGATGAAAGAAAATATTACACACTGAAAACATTCAAATACCACATAGTTGTTACATTAAATGTACCTAAGAGTTGCTTTTACTTATCAGTCTGTTGCCACTGAAACACTCAAGGCTATTAATTGCTTCAGTAGATCTCTGGCAGTAGTTAACCTGTCAACAAGCTAAAGCTGAGATGAAGTAGTTTCAGTGTAGTATAAAGCCCAATGCAAAAGACATGCCTCCATCTAAAAAGGTATTTTGCCTCAGTGGATGATATATTCTTTTTCTGAGTAAGAAGCACACATTCTTACTTGGTTTTATTAAAGAATAACAGAATATCTGTAAAGTATGACCCTTTGGCTAACAGGCTATCCTACTTTATTCCTTTCATCCCATTCAAAACAACCAACCAACCAAAAAAAAAAAAAAAGCAGAGGGGATGGCAAGAGGACAGTGGCTCTCATTCAACAACACTGCAGAGGCCATTAAGACTTTTAGGAAATGGAATGACAGAGCCTTTGATACAACAGAACTGAAGTCTGAGTTTGAAAGTATCTGCCCGCATGCAAAACATTGGCTTAGATTTAGGGCTTTTTTAGTAATAATTGTTTGCCTTTAAGGCAAGGCACACACATGCCTTCATCAAGGTAAAGAAGCCACTTCATCCAGTTATGAATTTCATCATATAAGTATACCCATACTCCAGCTCTTCTAGACTGGTTAACAAAGAACTTTTTAAGGAAGAGAAGAAAACTCAAAAATATTCTTCTTCATGTGACAATTACCTTCTCTCACTTAAACACACGTAAAAAGCAGTGTATGCTCCAACTGCAATTCTGTACAGTAATATTAATTTCCTCACATAAAAAGAATAGGAAGGATACATAGATATCAGACATGGATTGGCAAGTACTTCATATTTAACATCTGTGATAAAAGACATACCTGAAGCGCTTCACTGCATCTGCTACTTGCTCAGGAGATGTCATCCAATCAACGTGATCAACTATTTTTCTAAAATCAAAGCAACAAGTCTCTCAATTTTTAAACCAGAGAACAAATAAGTATAGCATTTTAAAGAGCACTCCAGGGCAAACAAAGTATAATTTCAGCTTTCTCCAACTCCCTAAGTAGGTTCTATAAAACTGCACACTAGGAAGGCAAGCATTGATTCTCAAGATAAAAATCTAAGCTCACTGATCACTCCTGAAGTTAAAGCCTTTTTCTTTTTGGGTAAATGTACAATGACTAAGCAGGCTGGAAAATTGATGTTGCATCCCCCATCAGCATTAGATAAGTGTTCTGCTTGAAGAGTGCTCCATGAAGAGGAGCACTCTACAAGTTCTGCTTCTGTAAGCAAAGAACCTACTTAAAATCTCAAATTACCACACTTACGTATGCAGCTACTTCACAATCTTTAACAGGAGATACAGACTGATCATAAGCTTTTACCTTCATTAATCAACACACACACACAGAGCACTCAATATCCAAGTCTGGTATGTTTACAGATACGATATACACATCTGTGTATCACCATAATCCCAGGATTATTTTCCTGAACATAGTTTGAATTTATTTTTCTAAGAAACAGGAAAACACAATTTTGCTGCAGAGTGCCATTAAACCCCGTGAATCTG